CTCTATTCTGATGTCTTGAGTTGGATGCATGAGTTGACTGTTATGAGTAAGTGGTTGAGTCAAGTCTAGGTTGGGTGGTGAACAGAAGGGAGACTCTTTCTTTACTCGATTTTGCTGCACTCGAATGTCCTTTGTGGTGGTTGTCCAGGTTGCTGTTGAAGTTGGTCATGTATTGATGTTTGAAAACCAGTACAATTCACGTGTTCTGTGCCTTTATGACTTGTCCCCAATGTTGGTTGATTGAAATATGTGAGCCTACCTTGTGTCTGACTTGGTTTGCTTGGGGACAAGCAAACGGTTAAGTGTGGGGGAGTTTGATAGACCGTTAATTACACATGTTTTCACCCCTGTTCTTACACCGTTTGAGATGTGGTTTCTCGTGTTTTAGGCCGATTTCATGCTAGGTTGTGCTTGTTTGTGATATTTCAGGTCCTAGTACGTGAATGGAGGCTTGGGAGCGAGTTTGGGTCGATTGGACGAAGATCGGGCGCGAGGCAAGTCACAAAGGAGGCCACACGGGCACACCCACAACTCACACGGCCGTGCAAGTGACCACTTTGGCCGTGTGAGATTGTGTGAGAGCAAACACGGCTTGCCCTGATGTTCACACGGCCGTGTGAAGGAGTGGTTTGGCCGTGCGAGTTTCGCCGGGAGCAAACACGGGCAGATGGAAATCCCACACGGCCGTGTGGCCCTGCCCGTGTGAGTCGGGAATTCCTGATTTTAACCCAATTTCGGGCTGCAAGAGGGGGAATCGAACTTTTTGAGCAAAAACAGAGCCCTAGAGAGAGAAAGGACGAAGAACACATCCTAGAAGCCATCTTGGAGCTGGGTTTCATCAAATCAAGCTTGGAGATCGTCATAGGAGTGGAAATCATCATCCCAGAGCAGATTCTTCCCATAATTATGAGTATGACTGCTTTGTATCTTGTTTTCCTCTCTCTCTCTCTATGGAGTAGAACCCCTCTCTCACTTGGGGATGAAGAACCCTAGTTCTATGTGTTATGGATTGATTGTAATGACTTGGGATGATATTACTGTTTGATTTTAATCGAATGATGCATGTTTATTGAGTCAATTGAAGTCTGATCAACTTTTCCTGATTCCTGCTGCAATCTGAGATAGATAGAATATGATTAGGTTGCTAGAGTCTCATCATTCGATAGTAGGAGATTGGCTATACGAGAGTTAGCCAGTTTACTGCTTTGTACTGGAATTCAATTCCAGTAGTGGAGTTCTGTTCTTACTGCTTCAGCTTTCTATCCCGGTGAAGACTAGTCGTCTACCGGGTAGTTAGACTGAGAGGGCTTGGTCAGCTTAAGAGATTCCAAGCTACTGTCGGATCTTCCGCAGTCTAATCAACAGTAAATCAACCCAGGGAAATACAATTGAAACCTAACCAAGGAGCTAGGGGGACTCATTCCCGAGTGACTCTTACCTGCTTGAGAAAACCGTATAAATTCATGCTTTCTTTCTGCTTTTGCTTTTAAACAACAATTACTTACTTTAGTTGGCTAGATAATAGAGAATCACGGACTAAGCAGTAGATCTAGACCCCGGGTTGATAATATTACTTGTCACTTTACTACATTCCCGGTCTGCGATTACACTTGGTCGCAGATTGGTGTTGTGTTTTGGCGTGTCATTGGACGTGTATAGTAATTAGTTTACTATTTATTTGGCATCTTCTTATACTTGGATCATCTGCAGAAATAAAGACATGACTGCATAAAATAACTATGTGTTTTCATTTCTCAAAAAGATTTACTATGCCTAATAACTTTTGTTTACTCCTAACCAAAGACTGACCAAGTAACATTAACTATTAATGAATTAAAGTAGCTAAATTAGCCTGGTCACACAACACGAGACCTCACGGGAGAACCTAATGTTCTACTTCATTAGTAGTCTTTTTATGACCAAATCAATTATGGTTTGTTCGTTGTTCAAGTTTGAATGTCATTACATATAGAAGGTTACTACACACACAATGACCTAACACCTAATTATATGTTCAGTATCATTAGCTTCGGTTCAATAGGGATTGATGACTAACAATGTATAATTTCGTTATCTTGATTTGGTAATGTTTGTACAAAATTTGAAGAAAAAAAATTCAATAGAAAATTATATTCACATCCTAAAAGTTAAAGATTATTGAAAGTTCATTTTCTTCTCTAATAACATACATCTTCATTTAAAACAAAATAACTATTCACTTATAATTAAAATATATATTTTTAAGTAAACCGCTGCGAAGCACGGACCAATTTTCTAGTAAGAATAAAAATTGTTCTTCTGCACATTTACTCAAGTCAAATGCATTGTGGCATGCTCGTTTCGAAAATGTCAATGAAAAATTCTAATGAAAAATAATAAGCATGGACATATTGTCCAAAATTGAATGCAATAAATATAAATGTTAAAGTGGGTGTGGAATCAAAGTTTACAAAACATCCCTATGATTTCTTGAAAGAAAGTTTGAACCAATGAACTTGATTCACACCAAAATTTGGGAGATGAAGTCAATACCATTGCATGGTGGGATAATTTACTTTATCACTTTTATTATTTCTATGTCTATTTTCTTAGTAGCAAAGATGATGCAATTAGTTCATTAAATCAATATAAATTCGAAGTTGAGAATCAAATCAACAAGAAAATAAACATTCTTAGAAATTAGTAGAGTGGTGAATATGAATTTTCATTTGAAGAAATAAACGAAAATTCGAAGAAAATGATGAATGCTCAAATACACCTAAACTATAGTTTACATCATCATTTGTGGAGGAAACTATCCTTACTGCCACCAAATAGTCCATAGAGTATTATAGTAAGACAAAAACCATTCTATATGATGAACAATGGAAAGATAGAAAGCCAAACATGGATTACTCCAAAGTGTAGAGGTGTTTCACAACAATGCAAGTTTCAAATCAAAATAGGTGCAAATAGGCCCAAAACAATAGATTGTGTATGTATTGGATATGCCAATAATGGCAAAGCCAGTCGATTTTTGATTTATAAATCAGAGATTCCCAAAATCCATTGTAATACTTATACACAATATGAGAATGCAAAGTTCTTGGAGAACATATTTTTGTATAAGAACAAGGATGCAATTATTTAAGAAAGTTCCAAGAAAGCTTGGGAAATTCAGAATATTGACTAGTTATTTACTCTCTATTTTTTAACAGTTTTGATGGAAATTAAGCATAAGATTTAAAAAAAAAAAAAAGCAATCAAATCTTACGAAACGATCAATATTGGAAATAAGAAATAACTGGTTACTAGTGAAATTGAATCGATTTTGAATAACAATACATGTGAATTAGTTGGTCTTCCACCCGATAATAATTCATTGCTTTACAAATGAATTTTCAAGTGAAAATTAAAAAATAATGCTACTATTGACAAGTATACGACAAGACTTGGTCCAACAAATTAGACAAAAAGTTATATATTACCTTTATACATATGCACAAGTCACAAGAATTACATCCATTCACATGCTAATAGCTTTTGATGCCATGTTTGATCTTCAAATCCATCAAATGGATCTGAAAATGTCTTTCTAAATGGCAATCTAAAGGAAGAATCCGCATAAACCCACCAGAAGGTTCATCGTCCCTAGACTTTTGCCATGGCTGATTGTCGTCTCGTAGCCACTAATTTAACACTCCAAATGATCAAGGAGCACTACTACCATGCTATATACCCTATGTTTGGCCCGGCTTTTAGAAGTATTTTTCGGGTTCAAAAGTTGAAACAGGGCCAAATACCTGTAAAAGCTCGGCTTTTGAAAAGGTGAAAAGCGCTTTTGTATAACATAAAAGCAGAAGCTCCGATTTGGAGCTTCTGCGAAAAGCTGTTTTGAAAATACAAGATTATCATTATCATATTTTAATTTTATTTCAGAAAATATAATTTTCCTTCATTTATATCATTTTAAAAATAAAATAAATTATAAAATCATCCATTTTGACTACTTTTTATTGATTAGAATTTTTATTTTTATTTTATATTATAAGTCCTTTATAGTTATTTTACACAATCTCTCACATTAAAGCACTTCTAATAGTTTTACAGCCAAACACTCAACTGCTGTTTTTGAAAAGTACTTATCTAAAAGCTCCAGCCAGAAGCTGTTTCTGCAAAAGCTAGAGCAGGGCCAAACTAAGCTATAGTATTGGTGCTTTAATGTACAACTTGAAGTTGTACCATAACATTAAATGTATAAGTTTAGGTTGTATCATAAAGGAATTTGTATCATTATGTTATGGTACAACTTTACAACTTGAAGTTGTACCATCACGTAAAAGTACAAGTTCAAGTTGTACCATAAAAGAATTTGTACAAAAAGTATAGGTACAATCTGAAATTATACCATAATATTAGAAGTACAATTTCAAGCTGTACCATAAAGACAAACACCTATAACACCAATACTATATAACATTTAAAATTCCTTATGATCAATAGCCAATAAGTTTGCTGCCAACATTGTCTATTTGTCTTGACTCTTGACCATGGAACCTATCTAACAATTCCTGAAATTGACCACGTGCTTCAATTCATTTCTATATGAGAATATCGGTTTGATGTTGAAAGCTTGAGAGGCAACATGATTGAATAAACTATTCGTCAGAAAGTAGCTGGAAGTAGCCCCGGTCAAAGCAGCACCCTTAATTATATAATTACAAGTTAAATGCATCCAAAATCACCAACTTGTGTTGTTTAATGCATGATTAAGGTTACTATAATCAGTTGCCCGCGCTGACCTTTCAACTTCAGAAAAGCCGAGGAAATTGCCTCTGCTCGATTTCTCTACTTGCTTGCTTTCTTTCTCGTTGGCCCCCAAACTTGAACCGCCAATTGGGTGATACAACTCTGACCAACTTCACAATTCTCGGCAGTTTCCCTTTGCTGCTGCATCCCCATTTCCCACCTACCGCTTCCCCTGCATATATAATGCTCTGTTTTCCTGCAGAATGTCAGAGCATATCAACCCATCACTTCTTCACCAAATCAAAAGCAACCAACGCATTAGTAATCTTATCCCATCTGTCGATCCCAAACCACTTTTAATTACCAGCCATGTTGAGAGCGTTGAGCACTCGCAGAAGCCACAACAAGTATGAAAAGCTAGTTGATAACAATGAATCTTCTGCGGCGGGTCTCCTGGTGGGAGGAGGTAGTGATTATCAGCTTAAAAGGAGCAAAACCTTGCCGGTTCGATTTTTTGGGTCGGCCAGTAAAAGAGGTCAGAAGGTGTCTGTGGAGGTGGAGCTTAAGTTGCCGTCCCTCCCAGCAGTGAAACCGGCGATGAAGGTTAACAAAAGTCACCCACTTTTCAGCCTCTTCGATCGACGGCGCCAGAACAAGAGGACCACTTCGAGACCGGAGTTCGCTAGGTACATCGAGTATGTGAAGGAAGGCAGAGGCTCATTTTACTACAAGTGATGAGAAGTTGAAACAGCAACCAAAAAAAAAAAAAAAAACAACTTTGGTTGCATTGTTTATGTAAGGAAGCCTTTTTTCCTTTGTTGGTTCTTCTTCGAATTGTGCAGAAGAAGCTGTGGATTGAGATGTTCTTTCGTTGATTTAGGGCAAAAGGTTTAGGTTTTTTTTTTTTCCTTCTTCATTTCTTTCTTCTTATTGGGGTTGGATATTCTCTCTGTGTTCATGTTCTGGCTGAGTTTGAGTTGATGATCAAACGGGCCTGCCCGAAGGGAGTCTAGACAAAAGCAATAGAGGCTTCAGAATGAAACTTGAAAATGAAGCAGCAGCAGTATCAAGATCCTTTTGAGTTCTTTTGATTTTAATATTCTGGTTCTCTCAGTTCATCCCTTATTTAATATTTTGTATGAGATAGTGAACACAATTCTAAGGTTACAGAATTTATGAAGAGCATGTATACGTACAGTTAGGCGTGGCAGTCGGTCGGTTTTGGTTTAACTGAAAACCGAAAATCCAGTTATCGGTTAAACCGAGATACTCCCTATAGCTGCCGACCACCGACCGAAGAGAGGTCACGGTTAGCCGGCCAACCGATCGGTCGGTTCCGGTTTTATGCTCGGTTAGCTGGCCAACTGAAAAAATACATTTTTCACAAAAAAAATAATAATTAAATAAACAAAAAAAAACTCCACCACTCCTTCCATATCTCCTCCTCTCTCCTTCCTTCCCCCACCAGACCTCTTCTCTCTCCTTCCTTCTTCTTCTCTTACCTTCTTTCTCCATGGAAACAGATCTGCAAGGGCGGCGAGGCACGGCGCCGGGGAGGAGGAGGTCGTCGAACCAGATGCGCCACTGCTGCCACTGTTGTTGTTGAAAGGAATCAAATCCGAGGAGGAAAAAGTTTCTTCTGCCTCTTGCTTGGCCGGCTCAGAGTCAGAGCAAGTTGTGGTGGCGGTGGAAAGAGGGGGAGCGGAGGAGGCAGGGGAGGGCGGCCGTCGTCGTCGTCGGAGGGAGGATGGGGGAGGAGGAGGGAGGATGGAGGAACGAGAGGTCAGAGGAGGGAGGATGGGGGAGGATCAGAGGATGGGGGCGGCTCACGGCTGCTAGGGTTTAGGGAGAGGTGGGTAGTTTTATTTAGGCCAAAACGGGGTCGTTTAGCGTCGGTCGGTTAACCGGCCTCGGTTTTTCGGCTAACCGCCTAAACACTGAACGCCTCCGACAACCGACCGCCACCCAATTTTTTCGGTTCCCGATTAGCCGCTAACCGACGGTTAACGGTTAGACCAGCCGGTTAGCCGCTAACCGGCAACCGAACTGACAACCCTACGTACAGTAGAACAGATTATTTATCCTTTAGAAATTTTATTCCCATCTCAATATTCAAGGTTGTGGAATACCTCATTAATGTGGACTATGGAGGTCAACATCAATCTGGTTGAGCACCAAACAAATCAAACCAATTATAGTCGAAGGCGAGATGGGCGAGCAAAGACAACGAAGTGAGGGCACATTTTCTATAATGTAGCGAACAACTAGAGTCTAGTATCACTTGTAACACCCCCAGCCCGTAGTTGGTTCAACCGCACAATAGAAATCTATTAGCGGTTCCAATTCAAACATCTAATTATCAATCCATTTAAACAATTAACATCAATAATCTCATAATACCGTTTGATATGATCTTAATAACCCCTTAAACAAGGTTAAATTTCTTTCCAAAGAATCCATTCATGTTGGAAGGAAAAGGAGAAGAATTTGGTTAAGTCTTCAACCCGTATCATGGTGCTTATTTTGGAGGTTCATATCGTACATTTGGAAATTGAAGAACAAGAGTTTGTTTATGACTCTGGAGGATTGGTTGTTCAATTACAAGCCTTTAATTACAAGAACAAGAGGGTCCAAGTTGCTATAAAGAAATTGGGAAATTGCCTGATTTTGGCAAAGTCTGGAGACAGTTTGAGCTGTCTACTTTGAGGGCTTATTCGAGACGACAAGGGTACATCTGAAGGAAGCTTGGAGTTGGAGGTTGAAGCTGGTGAATTGAAGAAGAAACGATTGAAGCCCGATTGACTCGAAGCTCCTTGCATAGCTTCAAACGAGAGTCTCAAAGTGGTTATGGAGGCTTAGTTTCATTACTTGCGCAGGAAGGCAGCAACTTGTGTGTTAAGCAACCGAGCATTCTTTTCTTTTCTAGTTTGATTGCTTGTTAGATTAGAAGTTTAATTCTTTGTGCTAGCTATATAAAGGCTTAAAGCCTCGATGTACAAGTTAGTTTTAGTTGAATTGAAGAAACGGTGACTGCCACCAAACCCTTTGTTGTTGGTTGCTCAAGCTTCGATTTGTGCTTCGTATCGATTGAAAACCCAATCAATCGTGGTCGAGCTGCGACCAAATCCAATCGAGCATCTTCCCTAGTCTGAAGTTGCACCTTTGGTTTGTTTTCGTTTTCAATTTCCAAAAGTTCATTCGAGTTCTGTTCAATGGAACTTCAATTGCATGACTCTGATAATCATAAGCAAGGATTTAGCTCGCATCAAGTGGCATCAGTAGACTAGTTCAAACACAGTGGCGCTAGACAAAACTCGAGGACCAGTTCCATCGAGAACACAATCGAACTATCTAATTGACCGACGCAAACCAGAGGAAGACTTCGACTCCGACGAACAGAATCAAGATGCCGAGGCCAAAATGCTGGGTTATTTTAACTCCTCCGAGTTCTTACAGACCATCATCGCGCAGATGGGAGCAATATTCCAGGCCCAGTTCGACAAGATCGAACAACATTTAGAGCAATAAGGTCAGAGACTCGATGCCTTGTCTCTGGTAGCAACACAGGGAATCCTTGAACTCGGGTAGAGGACCACGATTATGGTGACGCCAACGCCGCCAACTGTGAGAATTGTGCGAATTGAGGAGCTTGAGCAGCGGTTAATGGTAGGTGGTCTTGAACAATGATGCCTTCATCATAAATGTCAAGAGTATTGATGGAGACAGCCTGACACGGAGTTGACAATTTCGCCAGGAATTAAGCTTGCCGTCCCTCAATTTCAAGGGACACTGAACCCTACTTTGTACTTGGATTGGGAGAAAAAAATCATTCTCTTCTACCAATGCGGACAGTTCAATGAGCAGCAAAAGGTAGCAATGGCTAACTACGAGCTCTTGGATTATGTTGCCGAGTGGTAGGAGCAATTGCAGTTACGTCATCTGCAAAACTTGCAAACTTTGGTGGACACATGAGAAGACCTATGATGACTAATGAGGGAACGATTTTTCCCAGGGTATTACCAATGAGAGCTCAACGAGTCATTGCAAGGAATTCGGCAAGGATCACATAGCGTAGAAGAGTATTTTCGAGAATTGGAGTTGTTGATGATGAGGGCGGACGTCAGGGAGGATAAGGAGGCCACCATTGCGCGATTTCTTCATGGGTCAAATCGAGAAATTTGACACAAAATTTAACTCATATCATTCATCGAATTAGAAGAAGTAGTTCACATGGCGATCAAGATTGAAAAGCAGCAATAGATATTTGCTGGGAAGAGATTTTTGAATTCCAAACTATGACCAGAGGGTTCGGTCGAGGTTAGCAAGCCCGAAATGGCCAAGCCTGCTCCAAGAAATTGGAATCGATGCAGCAGGAGCGGGTTGGAGCATCTAGTGGAAGCATCTAGTGTTTCAAGTGTCTTGGCCGAGGACACAAGGGCAATCAATACCCCAATCTTAAGATCCTGCTCCTACAATATGGAGAGTACATCTCCGTTGATGAAAACTAAGGCCCAATTGTGCATACTGAGTCGTCGAAGGAGGAAGTAGACGTGGAAATTGAGGCAGAGTCTGGGACTTTTCTATCATGAATGAATCTCCGGGCTTTGACGATGGAGGCCGAGACGAGCGATGATAAGAGAAACAACCTATTTCACACCAAATTTCTCGTAAACGACAAGTGCTTGTTAGTGGTCATCGACAGAGGAAGCTGTACAGACGCGATTAGCCTCGACACTGTCAAGAAATTGGGACTGGAAACGATCAAACACCATGAGATTTACATCTTACATTATCTCAACAACTACGGGGAGATCAAGGTAACGAGACGAGCTCGTATTGCATTTGAAATCGGCAGCTACAAGGATGAACTCATGTGCGATGTATCACTAATGCAAGCAGCTCATCTACTGCTTGGAAGACCTTGGCAGGATGATCGAGCCGTTACGCATGATGACGACACCAATTGTTACAGATTCAAGCACGACGAAAAGCAAATTGTGCTCAAACCATTATCACCGTTGGAGGTTTTCTCCGATAAGCAGCAGATGGCGTCAATTCGAGCTCGAGAAAGTGGTGAATCCGGAGAATCAAGGAAGAGGATCGACCTGATGCGTGGAGGATTCATGTTGATTTCCTTGAGGAGGCCAAAGATTCCTCAACCAATCGAGAAGGTCATCGACTATTTACAGTCGATGACGAGGCAGGGAGGAAAGAGAGTGAATTGGTTTGCAAACTGGGAAATGAACTGGATCAAGCTATCTATGCCAACACATTTGTTTTCAAACCATGAACGTGTGGAGACAAGAAAATTGGAGTGGAAGGCTTTGAATTGACAACGCCCAATTTTTCGAATTTGGAGCAAAACGTCGATAAAAACAACCCCTAATTGGTTGTGGAGTTCGGGGCTGATTCGACGCGAATGGATAATGGGTTCCCTTATTGGAGTCCCAAGGATGGTTTAGGATCAAAGAAGCATGCACAAAAATGACTGAGTAGAATTTCCCTAATTTCGATTTCGGGTCGCCGGAATCTAGGTTTGCTTGGCCGAATTCTGGAAAATTTAAATTTCCGATGGCGTGAAAATGGAGCATGGTGAATTGAGGTCAATCGCGCAGTTCCAGGTGCTGGGATCGATTGTTGGAGGTTCCTGGGCTTAGGGTGAAATCCATTCAAGCGCTTAGTGGTCCTTAGAAGTCCCGATTCGTGAAATATCAGAATCAAAGGCTCGCCGGAGTTCAAATTGCTAGCCATAGAGGTTCCCTTTTGCGATCCTTTTTGGGATAACTTTGTAGATGATTTTGGATGCAGGAGTGAACCAGCTTTGAGGGCAAAGTTTTTTAGAAAAGGGGGCCTCATATGCTCCTAATCAACCCCTTAAACAAGCTTGAATTTCTTTCCAAAGGATCCATTCATGTTGGAAGGAAAAGGGGAAGAATTTGGCTAAGTGTTCAACCCGTATTATGGGGCTTACTTTGGAGGTTCATATCGTACATTTTAATCGATGGAAATGCAAGATAAATGTTGGGAATTGAAGAACAAGAGTTTGTTTATGACA